GAATGAGGTTCAGACCAGATGGGCAATTGAAATAAGAATGTTCGCAAAATTTAAAAGGACATGGGCAATATACAAGTCCAACCTTAATATTCAAACAACAGCAAATATCGTTCATGTGACATGGCTGTGAATGTTGAACATGAACGAGCGACGCCAATGAAATAATTAAGGCTGTTGAGACACAGTCCTTCTTTTGACAGCGTGGAATTCCATGGCACACCGACTACCCATTGTACAAGTGAGTCAAATCGACACAAACCACGACTGGTGATAAGTAACAGGAGGAAGGTGCAATGGTTTGGTGGCTCACATCGCTCAAAGACCAAAGGGAGACAGAGAGAAAGAAGACTCTCCAACGCCATCTTGCGGGACCCAGTCGAATGGACGAGATGTCGGCCAAGGAACAGTCAGTCATATTATGAACGTCGCGATTTGGACAAGGAGATCGGCGGCAGACGATATGCGCACATCGCAGATGACCGCAAGAGGTGGAGAGAGAGTTGAGTGACAAGGCATCGTGGTGAACCCGTGGCCCCTGACGATTTAGAATAACAATGATGGCTTGGATAAGGACTTCGAAGTTACTGCCACTTAAGAAGGAGTCCTTCAAAACCTTTTAAAATGCACTGAGAGGTATGAACTCAGTGGAATGAAATATGCTTTTCAACAGTGTCATTCATCATTTTACACGACAATCACCTGCATCTTCGCCCAGGTTGATACTAGGCCTAGGAGGAAGCTCTAATGTGGTTGATGTATGCTGAAAGTTTGACAATATTTTTCACACCACATCACTCTTCCCTTATCAGACTCACATATCTTCACTTATTGGATAGTGACCCTTCACTTATCGGATAATGATCCTTCACCTATCGGATTCACGCCTGGCTGCATACTGCTGTGTACACATGTGTGTAAGGTGCATTCTTACATAAACGTGAGTACGTGATATATTTCTTGTAAATTATTTTTAAAAATACATATAGGTAGCGCATGCACTTCTTTATCTGATCGGTTTTAGTTTCATGCCTGACTAAGAACATACCTGAGAAACCTTCAGCGGAACACAGCTCTCTGTTCTCAAAAGCGATGCTGATTGCTCGTACATCAAAATACAAAAGTGATTTCTTGCTCATATGAACATTGAGGCATCGCTCATCTCCCACGCTCCCCCTAAGCCTGGAGTGGAAATTACACATCCCTATGGCAGAGGCGAGTCTCCCCATAGGACAACCACGGTTGACTTGCACGCGAAGTGGTATGGATTTTACTGACCGAGGAAAGTTGATAGGTTGAGAAAACCCCCAATCAGGATTTGAATTCGCAACCGAATGATTGAGCCACCCGGTCGGCATTTGAATTAACCGCTCTCACACGCTTTGGCTGAGAATTTAGCGATGTAAAGTGCTTTGTGAATTTTCAATGAAAGGTGCCTGTATAAAACTACTTAATTATTATTGTTTTTATAATGCAGCACAAGAGGTTACCACAATGTCTGACAATAATACAATAAACCATGGGTGGTAATCATGGAATTTATTCCAATTCTAATTGTCCCATTACCCATAGAATTAAAGTTCAGTGTGGTAAGGCCTCCTAGGTCAGCGTTAACAATTGCACACTTCAATGATGCAGGGCAGTCACTTCATGGCAAAGGCAAGAAGCAGAAATGAGGAAGCATTTAAGTCCAGTAACAACAATTGATTGTACTACACTGCTCTCTTCTGCCCACATCATAGCACTACAGCCGACAACACCTACTATGGCATTGTGGTCACCCATCAAAGCACTATCCAGGCTCAACATTTGCTTAGCCTCTGAGGTCTAACAAAGATGGGGGGCACTCAAAAGTGATCTTGTTAAAGGCCACATCGCAAAACGTTCTCGATTACATGAGTGCAAAGGTGTTATCTTTGGACACGTTTAATTCGATTTAAGGTGAAAAACTCGAAGCATCCTTTAAAAGCTTACTGACGGGTATTTGTTTTGCACCCGTGTGACATATTTGGAGGTGACCAACGGCCACTTAATGTGTGACTGCGGGCGCTGTTTGTGTAATCCAAGGGGTCGCACGTGCACTTAACGGAAGGAGGGGTTCGGGATTGCTCTCAACGTGCCTTTTCCCTCCATGAGCTGAGAGAGTTAGCCTTCTTTGCTGACACGATGACACCTCGGTGCAAGAACCCTCAACAGTTGAGTGCAAAAAAAAATGGTTTGCAAGAGCGGGCGCGGCATTCTTGCCACACGCCGCATTTATTACCTGCACCAAGCGTGGCGCCCAATTGATTTAATGTGATAGTAGACTTTGGACTTTTTAGTCTCCAGTCACGTTTTAACTAAACTCACAGTGTGGAGGAAAACACCGTGGTAGCATTGTCTGCTTCAATCGGACTCAATCCTCAACGAGGTACGAGGCCCGACCTGTTTTAGCGACAGGGAATGCTACAAATACTTTGGCGCACAGAGGAGAGTTTTTAACATCGATGTTTGGAAGAAATATCAGTGATATTGCTAAGAGCTTTTATAGAAGACATGAATAAAAATCCTCCAATAAATTAGCAGAAAAGCACTTTCTACCAACGTATAAATCAGGGTTGCATATTTCATAAAGGGCGATTTTAAAGGCCCTTTCAAATTGTGGTATCATATATCTTAAACAATATAATACCTTTATACAACAAAAAACTCAACACATTCGTCAATAATGCCACCTTGAAAGGAAAAACGATACAAAAGGTGACGTTTCGGGCAATGTCCCTTGTACATGGAACATACAATTATTTGTTTTATCATTACAAAGTTATATGCATTGTAAGAAATATTATTTGGGGGTGGGGGGGAAGCGAGGCACTATCTGAGCAGATATCACAAAGCGTCAAGTAAACAATGTGTATGTGTGTTGTGCAGCACACTGGGCAGGCCTTCACATCCGCAAAGGTATGTACGTATGTATGTTGAACTTCTTTTGCACCGCACGTAGCCATCCAGGCTAATTGGAGGTGTGGGGGAATGACAACAAACTAAATGCAAAAAGCAGTTCTAAAGAAATGAGTTCTCAATCTAGATTTTTTTAAAGTGCAAAGCTCCAGTGACTTCCTAATATCGGAAGGAAGAGCGTTCCAGACGGCTGCAGTAGCGCATCTGAAAGTGCGCAATGCAGCGACCGTCTTTGTTTTATGGCTAGCCAAAAGCCGTTGCTGTGAGGATGACGGGAGCTCGCGTGATGGTTTGTGCTCCTTGACGAGATGAGCAAGGTATATTTGTGGCATTCGATCAAAGTGCAAAATTACAAAACAAAGGTAAAATAATTTAGAATTAGAAAAAAAACAAGAAGAAACGCAGCTACAATCAAGTGCATAATTTGTGCAGAAACATTCACAGATTACGAAAGTTTGAACAAGCCGTCGTGTTTCCATGAGAAAGCGTGAGTGAATTAATTTCCTGGGCTGAGCGCTCCTAAATTTTCTGTAAAGATATGGTGTTAATATAATGCGAAGTTACACTTCCTATTTACAAATACTATCAAATCCCCAACAATAATAGACTCATGCTACGGAACTTACAATTCGAAATGTAAAGATATGCCTTCGTCAATTTATGCGGAACGGGTTTTAATGTAGCATCTGAATTAATTACCCTAGTGTGTGTGTGCTCTTTGAGCATATTATCTTCGCGCGTGTTTTTATATGAGCTTTTGCACCACCGTTGTCAACATAGTCCCGCTAATTTTGCAATTGTTTTCACACAACATCGGCAAACAATGCAAGCTTTTTTGAGAGGTTACTTTGTATGAAAAGCAGGTATAGGTGTTAACCTATTATCTTTACATTTTTCCTATTCAGTGGTGACAGGATATATTTCTTTACATTTGTTTCCCTGTTCAGTGGTGACAGGATATATTTGCCATCGCATCCTCATTGTTAGAGCCAAAAGGCACATTTGGGCCAAAACTCAATCTTATCTTCTTCCAGCTGGTAGACAAATCCCACGGACGTTAAGGTTACCACGAGTACAAATCTAGTTTTCTCTGCAACAGTGTCGAGGCAGTCGACGGCAAGGCCAGCACAGCTGCACGGGAGGCTGAGGCCGATGGGCCCCCTCTCATTATCCATGCCAAGCACTGAAACGTTGGGGGAAACCATTTTCTTCCGAACAGAGGGCAATCACCATTCCTTCAACGGTATATTCTCATCATAAGTACACTCTGACAAGGTTTTGTTGTTGTTGAAGAAGAAATAATATACTTTTTTTCTAATGTAATTACTTGAATAAAATAATGCTAATAATAACTGATAGCCCAAAGCAGTGCTGGTTCAAGCCTTCACCAACACACCATTATGTGACTGGGGGCTGCTGTTTGACCATGACCTCAAATTTATATCACAACAACATTCTGGAAGATAAATGCATCGTAATTTACATACGTACAATCATATGCAGAACATTTTGCAGCGTTAAACATCAACAGGAACCATCATTCCCGCAACTATGCATGTACACAATTCCCAAGCCCACAAAAAACAAGTCGTACAGGGACTCATCTACTTACGAACATTCAACTTACAAACTTTCAGAGATACGAACAAACCTCTCCGTATGTCCAGTTGCCTGTTCGTACCGAGAGTCTTAAGTTCAACCGCCGCGCAATAGATGGCGGTGGTGGCATCTACATCTGCCGAACATGAAGAACCAGTGGCATCGACATCTACAGCAGATTATACAACTTGAAAAGCCATTCCCCGTGTTTAGTGTGCATGCCGTACAATATGTTTGACAGGAGTAAAGCTGGACTTATACACAAATCGACTTAGGAACCGACCTCTGGAACCTAACTCATTTGTAAATAGAGGAGTCCCTGTATAACTTACAAAATCAGTGCTACTACGCACTGCAAGCCCAAGTGCAGCAATTGTCAAAGTAAGAGGATTTCTTGTTTTAAAGTTCGGGGTGGCAGTGGGCCCCCCCCCCCTACCCTCACCCACCCGGGGGCGGTGACTCACCATCCAGCGAGAGCCAGTCGTGCTGTGTGGCTGGCAGCGACAGAGAGTTGCGCGCCCGGTACTCAAACACCACGGCGGTGGAAATGATCTGCCCTTCGCACGCCACCTGCAGCGTGACCAGCCCTGCCTCGTGAGCTGGGAGCACACGCACGCACGCGCACCGGTTTAGCGTCTGCGGCATTGTCCGCCATCAGTCACACGTCAGCACATTTCCAGCATTTTATTCTCAGACACATTTTTTAAATATATATTATCACGAAGCATAACAGTTGTCACGTATTTAGGCAACCTTTCACAATGTCTCAATGCATTCGCACATGAAAAAGGGAGGCATACATAATATACAAAGAACCGGGGTGGTAAAATAAAAGCTAATGCTTTATTATTTTCTATTTTTAGTCAGGACTCAAAAGATATCAACACCGATCCGTGCCAAATTATGACAATCGTGTTTGACGAGTGGGCATGCGGCAAAAACGCGGCAAGCTGATCTCTCCACCGTGGCTTTTTCTCCAAGCTGTGCTGTTAAACTATAATACTGTAACATCCAATAGTATTTGCACGAGGCTTTCATAGTTTGCGCAGTATGGCTCTCCGACGCGTTTTTTGGTTGTCCCCCGAGTGTTGTTTGGCACGATGTCCGACGTTTCGCAACACATGCCGGGGAGCTGTCGGAAATCACGCCAAACGATGCGTGGTACGAACACATTGGAAGTGCTGCAACTAGCGTTTCAAGCAGAGGCCCTTAGCCAGAGTTCAACCGTGAATGCACAGCATTAGCAGAACAGGTTTAACTTCAACTTAGCAAGATGTGATGGTACATGCCTGCAATCCGGTAACCTGCAAGCGGGGTTGATGTATCACAGAAAGATGGAGAATGAATGATGTGGCTTTTTCTACAGGATAGTATGGTGCTTGTATAGATCTGTACAGCAAGGTGTATGACCCATCTGTGCAAAGTTTGTAAATTCTGCATTTGTATGCACAGGGTCTTTCTCTGTGCACTGGTTTTTTGCCCAACTAAAAATAAAAATATATTAAAATAGGAATTGGAAAACATCGCTAAGCAGTATTCTACTTCAAAAGAGTACAAAGGAATCGTAGGAATCTCGTAAGTAAATACATAAAATCAATATATACTATAAACTAAAATAAACAGCAACAATACTTATTGCACATTTATAGCTTAATTGCACTACTTGATTCCATATGTCTCATTAACTAGCCATCAAAGTGGCAAATATCTCCCATGGAGACAACTCCGCTGCTTATGATTATGTAATGATATGTAGCTCGTATGTAGATTACATGCAGTTTATGTGAACAATATAACAAATATATATTTTATATATTTTTTTAAGTCGGCTCTGCAGCCACACACCTGCTCATCTGCTCTACCATTTACAATGACCCCGGCGTGACACGAGCACCATTTTAAAATCATACAATTTGTTGGCGTCCCTCTTTTACACAAATTGCATTTGCCTCACAAACTTACTCTTAACGTTGATCTGATAGATATTATATTGTCTCGTGGTTATTATTATTCTTATTATTGTTAATATAAAGTGTTATTATTTGATCCATAATTCGTTGCAATTTGGATAAGATCGTGTAAGTATAAATAAATGTTAATTTTATTTTGTTAATTGACGTATGTTGAACTTCTTTCACGCTGTACGTAGCCAACCGTGATTATTGGGGAATATCTTCAACATTATAACCCTCCACCACCTCACAAAGTGGATCAAATAAAGTTGTTAGATGGACAAATATTCCAATGGATTTGGTTTGTCAGCAAACTGGAATGTGAAAAAGCTAAATGTTGATTTTAATCATTACTTTTATACGTAGTGTACACGATGTAACCCAAAAGAAACCAACTGTGAATCTCAATATGGTAGTGAAAGCCTACGTATATTATTTGATTGTAATTTTAATGACTCATTTTTTATTTTAATGACGCATCCAATTAAATTCAACCAATCTCTGTAGATAGATTCAAGTCCATCAAAATGTATCTCAACAGGCTTTCCGCTCGCTTTAAAATTATCTCTTATATCCAAAATCTTTCTCTCCTCTCACACACGCACAGCTCTCAACTGTGCTCAATTTAATCCGATACGTACTTTTTCAAATGTCTGTAATGTTGTGCAAAACACACCTGTTTGAACAGAGTTTTGAATTTAATTTAAATATTTTCACATTTTGCAGCAAGCCCACAAATCGTTTTGTATTGGCAAGCAGTCGCAAAAAGAAGGGAAGGAACACTAATATACTGAATATCCCTGTTACATGTGCTTTGACCACAGGTACTCAAGTTAACGTAGTACGATTGAGCAATCGTGTAATGAATATCAGACTTCAGATGTAGAAATTGGCCTACCAAATACCGTACTTCAATTATAATTACCATTCTTAATTTGCTAGAGCAAGCCGTGATATAATAAAGGGCAAAATGTAATAAGGCTATACCTTACTAATGTCCAATTTATTTTCCACCCTGAGATTGCCATGAGCTATATTGGTCTGCACATAGCTCTTAAAACATTGCGAGTAACCCATTTATTACTATACATGGCACAGGTATTAATCATTTCACAAACAAAAATTATTGCACCCCAACCTGTCCGTGCCACTTGCGAATAATGCTACACAATATGCGCTTGCCCAAAAATAAATAATTTTATTCTTGCATTGTAATAACAGTGGTCCAAATGAGACACTTTGCCCCCAGTATGGAAATGTGGAATTTCCGAAACAGTTTTCCAATGGAGCATTGCTCCAATGTTCGTTGAACTTGGAAACACGTTATAAAACGAACTCTTGATATTGCGCATCATTGCATAGTATAGACAAGTGCTCTAGATTGCATTGAGAAAAAAAGCCAAATTACTGAACAACAATTTCGCATTTTGACTGCAAGGCATATTTAAATTGCACAGTAATGTACGAGCGTTATTGTACGCTGCATATTTGGCATGAGCGTAAAAGGAATCGCCAGGCACCCCTTAGGTCAAGCCCGGACATGTGGGCAAAAAAATGTGCAAGTAAAACAATAATGCGTTGACTAATATGCACAGTCTGCCTCAAAGCAACAAGTAGCAAGCAAGAGAAAAATATATAGCAAAATCGTGAATCTCAGAAGAAGGTTTCTCTATTTTTGTAACACTGCAGTATGTTATACACAGGTGCGAATATGAAATTGCTGAAATAATGCATGTATAGATATATAGTAACACACGTAGTAAACATGGGGTACATTAGCTTGGCATTGTGCGTGTATTTAATGGGCTCATTATTGACTTAAACAATTTGACTTTGCCAAAAATGTACAATACAATTTAAGATATTACACATTAAAGCGTTAATTTAATGAAGTGTTAGTTTAATAACATTTAACAAAGAACATAATTAATAGCACACACGTTCATGCGTATCATCATATGACTCTGCTCACAGCAGTACATACGAAAACTTTTATTTTTATACACACGAGCTTAACAAAACAATTAGCGTAACCTTTCTACTTTCTCATTTGACCAAAAAAAAAAGAAACCCCTTTAAAACCGCAATTTCAATCGCCCGTCAGACACTACTTACAATAACGCACCGCCAGGCTTAGCACTTTGCTCGATAAATATTACAAATAAAAAAAAACACAAAGACTCCGGCGACTGCAGCAGGGCTTTAACCCAAGCACAATTTGCACCTCTGCCCTGGCCCCGTGCGAGTGAAGAACCGTCGCCAGTGCTTTACCGCCGCAGACAAAAGTGATATCATCTATCGCCCCCGTCGCCGCCTGCGCCGAAGCTCACTCTGAACAGCGGGCTGCGCCACGGCGATCTTGCCTCCTAGTCGAGGACGTGCTGTTGAATCTCGTGGGGGGCACCAAGGTAGGGGCCGCATCCCCCTCTCCCAGTGGGACATCACTCAACGGGGGGGGGAGCCCGGGGCGCCAACGCTCACAGCGCATCGCTCACAATGCCCCGGCCGCATCACCGCCTCGTAATAGCCGATAAAGTTGGATGCCGAAACTTGAGCCACTGTGATAATTGCTTCACTTCCTACTAAGCTGGCCGCCAGTGCACTTGGACAAATGTTTTTTTTTCTTTGCGTGGGTTTCTGTGCAACGTGAGGTTAACTTTTTTTTTAGAAAGGTTGTTTCTCTGATACATTTACTGTCTATATTTTTCAGGCGAATAAAGTTAATTGATTGTTTTAAATGAAAACGAATGAGTTGTTCCTCTAGCGGTCCGATGCGTTTTCGGGCTGTTACACCGTGTTATTCGGCACGATGTCCGACGTTTCGCTCCACAATGCTGGAAGCTTCTGAAGGGCTGGGTGGACACATGCAGCGAAGCGTGCATCCCCGAAACACCTCGCAGAGTTAAATAGCACAAGCTCTAAAATGTACGCAGTAAACCGCAGTTGTGTATCTTAAAAAATGCAGCATGTACTTCAATGAAACGGGATGAGTGGTTTTCCAGACTTATGTTAAGCCACGCCACTCTGGACCAGTTTTTCCCTTCGCTGGGGCTCATCAGTAGAGGGACGCATGTACAATATTAAACTAAATAAAGGGAAAACATGTATTTGTTTTTTATTTGAAACTTTTTGGAAATATTAAATATTTGCACAATTTGCGAAGCACTTTAAGCTAGGCAAGTTAATTAGTAAGTGGCAACCAGTAGTATTAACTAATGGGAAAGTTACATTTTAAAGCATGGTTAATTATGTAACGGCCTTCTTTGAATCTTTACTTGCTTGAGCAAGAAAACAAACAGGACTATGGTACTTGATGAGGGAATGCTTACCTGATGCCAACAGCTTGCTCTATCGGTCATCATATTCTGCTAGATAAGAGTTGCAATGATTACTTCCAGGGATTATATCCAAAAGAAAAGCGTGACAATTTTACTCAAGGGGAGACAACGTACTGTGCATACAGTACATATAAACTAATTATATGGCATGTTACAATGTACATTGCAATAATCAGTTTTGCACTTATTTTTTGAGGTTATATGGAACTTGGTGAGATAATATTTTGACGGCCGTTTTCATTCCCCGAATTAAATAAAAAAAATGTCTATGTGATTTCTAAAGTAGGCATTTTATCAAATGTAATTCATAACATAAGCTTGTGATTCCCACGCATGTTTAAAAGCAGCACAGAGCAGCCTCAAGCACCGGCTGTGAAATCCTGTATGGAAATCCACAGGGCCTCTTCAAGGAAGATGCAAACCCAAGGAAAAAGAGTAATTATCTTGTTGACAGAGCCAGGGCTGTTTATGTCAGGGTGCAAGACGAGGAAATCACGGTCAGTAGTTGACCGGGCAGCTCAAGAGGGCAGGGCACTAGAGCTGGCGCCACTGAGACCCTGGGTCCATACCCAGACAGGCCTCCTGTGATTAAACTGGGTTCTCAAGTGCACAAGTGCAGCGAGCTGACGGAGAAGGGTCGTAAAAGACCACTTGTGCAAAGCCATTGTGAGACGTGGCGCAGACCGCCGTCCTAGATTTTCGAAACTCTTGTTTTGTCTCGTGACTCGAAGGCGATGGGTAAATTTGAATAGAACTGTAGGATAAATACCTTTAACAATCAGTCAAGATCACTCCGCAGTGGTGTCAGTAGTGATATTAATAGAATGCTCTTGAATTATTAAAAAATATTATTGTTTCATGAGTAACCAAGCCGGGAACCCATGAAAAGAACCTGAAATACGTAACTTACATAAGAGCTATTGATTTTCACGAGTTTTCATTTGACTCTAAATTCATTAAACGTTGTTTGGGATTGTTTTTTTGTCAACGTAGGAGCGGTGCAGAATGTAATGTGCATCTCACACGACAGCGCAGCGGCAGATGCTCTACCGCTGTGCACTCAGCTAGTGAGCAGTCTGTACGTGGCTCTCTCTCTCTTGAGGTCAAATTAACGTTCAAATAAAATAACTGCAAGATGCAGGCTTATTTTTTAACACCGCTTGGCTGCTCGAGAAACGTGAACTTTCAAGACACGTGTTCATAAAATTGAACCCTTTCGCTGTCAGTTTACGCTTTCAAAATAGTGTGGTGGATGATTTGTTTTTTTCATACATGGGTGAAACGATGGTGCAAATTTTCTTACCTAAGTCCAGCCATCAGTAAAATGGGTTACAAAAAGTTAGTCAGTCGGCAGGTCGCGGTGTGGTGGGGGTAAAGTGTGGGTACACCAGCCTCTTTCAAGACATTTGGCCAGTATGGAAGACTTGGCCAAGATATCCTCCAGAACAGTGGTTCTTAACCTTGACTGCAGTCTTGGTTCTCAATCATTAAAACATGTATAATGTTAAAACATAGGTTTGATGACACAAAGTAGTATTTTTCGATTTAAAGCTTTCGTGACTGCAGGGATTCATCTTCTTGGTTCTTTCGGTAAAGTCACGTGACTTTACCGAAAGAACCAAGAAGATGAAAAGTAGTTGTACTCAGGTGCCCGTGCTTAATTTGTGTTTTTAAAAAAAATATCTGGCATGTTCTCGCGCCCTCAGAAAAGGCATCTCGCACCCCCAGGAGGTGCGTGCACCCCAGGTTAAGAACCACTGCTCTAGAGGGGCTCTCTAGAGCTCCCTGTAATAAGTTCAGTGGTAAAAATATTTTTTCTCGAGTCAATGCCGCTATTCATCCACAGGGTACTCTTCTTTATAACATGTAACATTAGCAATAGCCGGCATGGGCCGGGAACGTGTGCGTAGAAGGCTTTAAGACGGTCCCTCTGAGGGACAGCACCAGCACCCCCTGACCTACCCCGCCCTCTACCCACGATCCATCGCTACAAATGTAGACGAGTGTGATGGTCTCACCTGGGCAGTAGCAGCGAAGCACCCCGCTCTGAATTAACGTCGCAGGGACGGAGATCTGGTCGAAGAGACAGCTGTAACTGTCGCTGCTCACATTCCACGGACCCGTAATAAGAACTTTCACTCCTCCCTGAGAAGAATACATGAATAGAAAGTGATGGGTTTATTAGTATTCTGTTACACTTTTTTTGACCGAGTACAAGTTATTGCGATTTCATTACCGTGCACGTCAAAATACACTGTTCATATGAGATCAACTTAATTAAAATAAACCTCAACGAATAGTGTAAATATTACATATGCTAAAGATGACAAATGTCATTACATTCGTGAATCAAGTGCCATTCTATCCATCTACGTCAAATGCGGATTAACTCACTGAACAACCTTTACTACTCAAACAATCTATCATGTGACGTATTAACAATGCACCTTTTTTTTTCGATTTACAAATAATATCACACCACAGTGTTTGCTCATAACAGATACAAAACAAACGCATGAACACGGTGGGGGGCCGCCCTCTCTTTGATCTCGAATTAAGTCGGTCCACTGCCTGCTCAGCCGTGTTTCAGTGCACAGCAATCACGCACATTGCGCGCCGAGTGCGCGCAGTCTGGGAATATGGCAACGCAAGCGGGCCAGCAGAGACCTAAAATATAATATCACGAAAAACTTCTACACTTTCACCATCAACCTGCGGATGTGTGGAAGAAGCAGAGCATCCCCCCCCCCCACCTGCCACCCCACGCCTCTCCTTAGGTCTAATGAGGCAATTGGGACGTTTCACTGCACCCATGTCATCATCATGCGCGGCTGTGCTCGCATTGCTCCTGCCGATGGACCCACGATACGTGGCTGGGGCGGGGACACACGGTTATCCACGAACATGGCGAGCAACGGAAACGTGACCCCGCTTCTGACAAAGTCTCAATGCCAAATCGATACTTGCGATTTACCCAGGACAGCCTCGCTGGGTGTCAAGATTGCTTTTGCTTGAAGGGTCTCCTACAATAAATGGGCTGTTTGGCCAATTCCATAGTATGTACATATGTTGAACTTCTTTCATACCGTACATAGCTAACCGTGCTAATCGGAGGTGTGAGGGCAACACTACAAACTCAACACAAAAAGTAGTTTAGTTTGTTGTCTCCCCTCTCCCGCACCTCCTCCATTCATGAGTGTTTGGCTCCATGTACGAATCAAATCAAGTGTCCCGGAGAAAAAAACCCCCGACATGGACAGGGGCTGGTAACACTCAAAGCTCTGCACAGACAGATAAAAGTGGGTGGAAAACTCGGAGAGTAGATTACCCCACTTTGAACGCTAAACGGAGTTACACTGACAAATATATTTATATTTAGGTCGACGCAAACGAAATCAGCATAGCGCATCGCTGGCAAGATGGCTGCACGTAACTTAACTCTCCTGGGTGGTGAGTGTCACAGCGTAGGACTGTATTGTGTTTCGGCATTGAGTTAAGTGCATTACTGAGTGTTTACAAACTCCAACGACTCCACATGCCATCGAATTACAATGGCACGAGTAGCCCCAACACCCTCATTTGTAACAAATAAAACAGAGGCGTGAGACAACTGAGATAGAACCCAAACACACCAGGAAAATAAGCACCCAAATAATTTTCGTGAAACAAATGTTTGTGGAGGAGTGGAATCCATTAATGAAATCCTCGGCATATTGTAACATCCAAAACATACCGCGAGTTAAAATAGCTTCTCTTTCTACATCTCTTCCTCTGCAATGCTCGAGATTGGAATTCCCTGTCCATTGACTATTTTCCCAAAGTCTTACAACCGTGCTCAATTCAAGAAACATATTAAACCGATCGCACATTTATTCTGGGACACCTTCAACACCGCTGTTCATTGCTGGCCGCTCAGTGTTTCAGGGCCTTTGGGCCTGTGCTCAGCACCCGTGATAAAAGAAAATGACAAAATGAAAAATACATGTGATATAAGACACTCACCTCAGGGTAGGACCATTCCGGGGAAAAATCTGTCACAGTCACCAGCTGCCCAGTGCCGGCCCCATGTCCATCACTTCCCACCATGCCCTGCGGCGACTCCACACCAGCCATCCCCACAAACGAAACCGAGCTGCCAGCCGTGCTCAGCTGTAGGCCAGGTAGCCCATTCTGGGCTTGCTGTTGACTCTGTGGTTGTTGCTGCTGTTGCTGTTGTTGTGGCTGCTGCTGCTGCTGTGGCTGCGTGCAGTTCATGGGGACGTGTGACGTGAAAGTGCTCACAGTTCCGCCACCACCGTTGCTGCTGCCCTCGATGAGCCTCTCCTGTAGGCCGTAAAGACTGCGGGAGCCTCCACCTGGAGGGATGGTGCAGAACGACAAAAGGCGGGACCCAGGGTAAGACTGATTTTTTTGCAATAGCTTCAGAAACAATGAACTGTTGTCATTTTTCACGCGAAGAAAAATTATGTATGACAGGTCATGAGTTATTTAGTATTTTTACTCGCCGATAGAAAGGTTGCCGCGTGTCTTACTTTTCAATGTGTAATACATTCGCAATGTTGTGAAAGTACAACGTGGACAAGTTAATTAAAACGTAAAGAGCTGGGAATGTAAAAAAAACCTTAGAAGAAAAAAACCCAGTACAATATTAATTATAATCATGCATATATTACGTACAATCTTAAGTCTACTGTGCAAGAGTCAGGATTAGACGTCGAAACATATGTACACACGTGTTTTGCTATCACGTAGGCCTCATATTGTGATACTGCAACTTTAAAACACAATGTTTCATGTATTCTGAATGACAACATCCAACAATCAGATCTAACTTTCCTCCCGCTTAAAGTAGAACAAGCGAGTCGCTTCACGAGTACCCCACTCACACTGACGAGATCGTGCATGCATTTTTGCAAACTTTTAAATAATACTGTCCATGACCCATGCATCAGATGCCACAAAACACGTAATTTCATATTGCAGGAGAGCAGCTACATGTAAAACATATTTCCAATCTGGTATCATGAATTATAAGTTAATAATAGCGCTAGTTTTGAGAAAGATTTGTTTTATTTATTCAGTGGCTCACTACAGGGCATGTGAGTGGTAAGAGAGAATTCTACACTCAATGTACACTTGATACTTTTAAACCATCACCAGTGTGGAATGAATTCCAATTTATCTTCACTCATCGTGAATCCAAAATTAAACTCGGCTCTCAGGCCAGTCATGCCCGGGTCTCTGCTCCAATATAGTGCTTCCAAAAGGAAAACAATCTAGCCGATTTCAAACACATCCTTTTGGACTCCAAAGAAGTTTGAAATTCCATTACGATGCTACAGAACGCTTTATGGGGCATCCTCATGCCTGCCGAATTAATTTCAGTTTTACGTGATTGCCACTATAAGTGCAAGTAAATGGCCTAGTCCTCTGTGCTATCTGTGCTACACATCTGGTTGTCAACGTCAATTGGTAGATCTTTTCCAAGAAGAGCTTGAGAAAAAAGCATTGTCTTCCAATGATTTAACCCTCATTTAAGTGAATTGCATTACGAGCATATAATTGATTAAATAAAACGCTCTGTAATCTGCATCAAACCACCCTTTGATAGCTCTTCCTGGGCTAAGCATATTTCATTATGCCCAACTGTCATAGAAATGGGGTCATTTTATCCATTGGTATGACTATCAGAATGACTATTAATCATCTGTATTGTTCCTGTTATTGCCATAGTCTGCAATGTTTGTTAGTCCATTCCACCAACAGGCAGTCATATTTTTGCTACGCACACCCAGATAAATCGCAATGTCCCTCCTGTCACAATATAAACACACTAAAAATCGTTAGGTAAGTGACAGTTCACGTGACCAACACGGGGTTATATTTCGTCACCCCTTGAGGTCACGAAGCACTCGGGGGCAATTTTAGGGAAGTCGTTGCCGGCAAAAATAGTAACTTGGAATGGTTGCCACACCACCTGCCGCGCCGCTAGACACAAAGAGTGAACTGACAAGATGAGTCCGCTGAAAGCTGCCACATGTAAACACCTGTCAGAGTTCAACAGCATAGGTTCGTGCAAGCCGGACTCTGCTGATGAGACGCTCAATGTCAAAACCAGTCGAGAGTTTGCTTGCGTTGAACGAATGCTGCTGAAAGTAATTGACACTCTCAGAAGGCCATGCGGCTGATGGGATGTCTAAAAAAAGACTCGTATTTTTTTTACGTGGAGGGATAATACGTGAAGGGGGTGTATTGTTTACATTGTTATGTCACTATGTCATTGCCACACAAAGTTACTACGTTTTCTCCTCATCAAACCTGTTTCCAGTGAACAATGACAGTGATTATTGTCATATAATTGCTCTTATGCATCTGCAGCCTGTAATAATCACAGGTGACACCGCACAACTATGTCTGGTGCGATTATACCCTTATAACACATTCCTGCGGAGGGAGCTGGTAGGAACGTTGGGTTGCTCGGTCAGTGGCCAGGGTCAACGGCGGCGTGGTGTATTCCGCAAATATGGCCGACTGTGAGGGCGGGCACAAGCCGGCGTGAGTAGGTTAAACGTTGAGTTTTATAAGGGCACCACGGGGTGACCAGCCCCTCCCCACCCAGCCCCACCCCTCCCACCCCCCACCCAGCCTCACCCTCCCCACCCAGCCCCTCCCCACCCTCCCCTCCCCACCAAGCCCCTCCCCACCCTCCCCTCTCCACCCAGCCCCACCCCTCCCATTTTTGGATGCACGACGGACGGACACAATAATCCCCTGTGGGCTGGTGGAACCAGGTGGTTCCTAACAGTATAGCTTCCTGCAAAATCAGTGTCATTGCATGTTCAGGCAGGCCACAGTGCGATTGTGACCATGCAACCCCAACTGTGGGTTACCTTATAGTAAACCACTGTAGTCTGCGCTCCTCCAATGGAGGAGTAGCAAAACGACACAAACTGTCTCTCCTGAAGCCCTCACTGATTGTGGATAGCAGTCCTCAACATATTGACATTTGCATTAACAGAAGAAGTCGTTCAGAGCAAAGCTAAGTCGATGCAGATGAAAAGCTACTGGGCAGGCTTTGAGATTGTGCATTATAGCCTGGGAGCTTTTTGACGAACTTAATGAAATCATTAACTTAATTAAGTTATGAATGAAGTCCCCAGCACATGGAACGGAATGTCAGGTATTATGTTGAACAACACGCGTTGCAACCCGAAAAGTATATCAGTTATTTATTATTTGCATTCATGTGCAACTGTTGTAATAGAATCAACTCACTCTACATTAGAAGAGGGTGCAATGTCTTGGCAGCTACATCATGGGACCTCCTTTGCCAGTACCAAAATATGAGAATAGGTTTTTTCTCATATTTTGGTATTGGCAAAAGAGGTCCCATGATGTTGATGCTCACCCCGAGCTCTCATTACTCTGATTGTGTATTGTCTTTGTGCTGTACGCCTTTTGGCGTCTTCTGGTCTAACACCGTTTGAGACGAGGCTCAAAAGAAAGCCATCTCTGGTGTGGACCAAACAGTTTCAAAGACAATGCATACATTATCAGAGTATTTTTTTTTGCATTCTGACCACGAGTATTGTGGTTAATGCAGAAATGAATCCTTGTAAAAGGTGTTTTTTTTTGTTGCCAGAAAAATGGGGAAAAAACCTATTCTCATGTCTCGGCAGCTGTCTGGGATTTTAAACCAGACACACAGGCACTGATATATTAGGTGAATTAAATTTGAAATCGTAACCTACAAAAGTATTACAAAATTTCATTTGATGTTCAGAACAACTGATAAAAAAGTAATGCGTGCTAATCGAGGCATGCAAGTACTTTTAATATCCTGTTCTCAAAGCATTTTGACTGCCACTCACACCAAGATAAGACTAGGCAGACATACATAAATATAATAGTGTGTCTTGTCAACTTTAATAAGTTTCTACACGATTAGAATGGACACGACTTCATTCTCCGCTGCCTGAAATAAGCTCTTTCACTTTGTTATCTACGGCAGGCATGCACGTAGACACGCATGTATGTTACCTCCAGAGTCCGTAGCCATGAAGTCGGCCATGAGGTCAGGGAACTGGCTATCGAAGGTCAGGTCAAACTGCTCCAGGTTGATCTCCATGTTCGATGCACCACCGCCTCCCCCGCCGCCACCGCCAGAGCTCGTCCCGCTGCTGGCTGACGCACTGGCCATGTCGCTCTGCACCATGTTATACAGGTCTCCTGCATTGCCCGCCTGCAGAAAAAGAAAGCGTTGATCAGCGTCCATCCGAAAGCAGCACCAGCAATTCATTTATTCATTCACTCATTCCCTGCTAGATGACGGCCTCCCCCACGCCGTGTGCATGGCACACGGGGCTATTCTGACCGTACTTCACCACGCTGCCCAGCGCTGGCACGTGAAGGCAGGAGGCAGAGACGAGGAAGCGCAGAAGTGCAGTACAACTATGGATTATTTCTGCTCACTGCTGCTGAGAATGTAGCCACACAGGCTCGAAAATGTATAATGTGCATATAATGAAGGGAAAAAAACAACCGTGTATGTCATTGAAAACATCTGTTATCGCGATACGTTTTCTTCCACAGGTTAAGTCAGCGGTTCTTAACATTTACTGCAGCTTTGCACCCCTTTGGTTCTCAATCGTAAAAATGTGTATAATATTAATAAATACATAGGTTTGATTAAGCAAATTAGTTGTACTTACGTGCCCTGCTTAATTTGTGTTTCGATGATCTACCTTCTAAAAACATCTGGCATGTCTCACACCCCCAGAAAGGGCATTTCACACCTCCAGGGGGTGCGTGCACCCCAGGTTAAGAAGAGAACTACTGGTTTAAGTGTTGTAATGCCTCGTCCTATTACTGGCATACCAAGATCGTTTCGCGTGCTTAACTTGTCAAAATAAATTGACACCTAAAACACCACGCGGGTAATGCAGCACCAAGGAAGAATGATCACATACCAAAAGAAGCTTAACCTTTAAGGCCAATAATTAAATAATCCACGTACATTACACCATTGCCAACCGTGCTAATCGGAGGTGCGGGAAAAGGATAACAAACAAAACACAAAAAGCAGTTTAAAAAATTCTTTTCAATATAGATTTAAAAGTGCATAGCTCCAGTAGCATTCCAGACAGCCGCAGAAGCACACCTGATAGCACGCAATGCATTGACCGTCTTTTTTTGATGGCTAGCCAAAAGCCATTGCTGCTGCGAGGATGACCAGAGCTCGCATGATGGTTTATGCTCCTTGATGAGATCAGAAAGGTATTGTGGTTAATTTGTGGCAAGCACTTCGTGTGTAATGAGTTCGACCTTATCATGTATTCATTTGGCAACAGGAAGCCAATGCAGCTCGGCAAACACTGGACGGACATGGTCAGATCTTGCAGTACCCCGTCACGACAAGTGCCAGAGAATTTTGTAGACCCTGCAGCATGGTAATGTTTTTGCCAGACGTGCCATAGAGTAGTGAGTTGCAATAACTGAGTCTTGTTGATACTACGCTACACGCCACCGTGTTGGCTTTGCCATGACTCAATAATGGTCAAATGTTTCGTAGAGCACCGATAATTGCAGAACTTGACTATATTTTGCACCACTGCACCACCTTTGCCTTTTACGTGGAACACTGCCAATAATCTGCAAGATTATCTGCACCTCGGGTTAGCATGGTTGGCGACGTTACGGCATGAAATCAGGTTTCGAGATCAGAGGCGGAAGTGGGGGTGTATACAATTATGTAACAGATCAGTAATCAGCCACCTTAGCATGTGACTCACCTGTAAGGAATTGCAATATGTGTTGTGTATTACTTAATACATACCCTTCTAGGCTGCGCTGAGTCTGTAGCTATCACAGCGGTTGAAATTATTTGAATTCTTCTCAATTTCGATTGATTCACTAACTAGTCTTGGCCAGTAATAATTAGTTCTGCATAACACTTCAACGTTATCAAAATCAATTGAGTGTCCTTGTTGGCAAGCATGCTCTGCCACTCCTGACAACTAGTGTTTGGGATAATGTAATGTTCCTTTGGTGTTCTTTTAGTCTTACGCTAATGTTACATCCCGTCTGTCCAATATAACACTTATCGTATAAGCAATCGATCCGATATACACCTTCTGTTGATTACTTCGCTAATTAATCTTAGTACAAGACACTAGTTTTTGAATTGTGTGTACCATACCAAAACTCACTTTAATGTTTTGCTTTTGCACAACACGGGCTAATTTGTCAGTAACTCCCGAGATATATAGTATTTTAATTGTTTTGATAATCTGATCACTTTCAGCAGTATTGTTCGGTCTTGGTTTGGCATTCAATGCTCCCTTAATTTGAGCATTATTGTAGCCATTCAGTCTTAGTGCTTATTTAACATGTGTAATCTCTTTCCTTAAGATTTTCACCATCTGACACTGTCTTTGCCCGATGATTGAGCGTCTTGATGAGAAGGATTTCTGTGCTGGGTGATGATGCGAATCTGCATTCAGTAGATGCTGTGTGTTATTTAGCCATTTTGACCACGTTCAAGCAAAATATCCAGAAGGGGAGTGTGTTGTTCACCTCCATTTCCATGGTGAACTGAATGGCTCGGTTTTGTGCATTGAGATTATTTAAAAATTCATTAAGTGTATCTTTACCATGTGGCCAGACAACCAAAGTGTCATGAACATATCTAAACCAAAAAGATGGTTTGAATGTACTTGAGGCAAGTGCTCCTGTTTCAAAGTTTTCCATGTACAGATTTGCTAAAAGCAGGAGACGAAGGAGAGTCCCATTGCTGCTTCCTTACCTTTTGTTTAAAGAAATCCCCTCTCCATAAGAAGTAAGTGTTATTTAGACAATGGCCAGCTAGTTTTGGAATATGTCCTGGTAAACCTGTCTTCTTTACTAGTGTATCAAGTAAATTAAGTGACTCGTTAACTGGAACCTTAGCGAACAGAGAAATTACATCAAAACTTACCAGAATATAATTAGAGTTAAGTTTAATATCTTTAATCACATTCACAAGATGTTCATGAATTTTTTATAAATGAAGATGTCCTACCGATGTAGGGTTGTATTTGTTTCGTTACATATTTTGCTAATTTATATGTGGCAGAGCCTATTGTACTTACTATAGGTCGTAATGGGATACCGATTTTATGAATGTTTGGTAGCCCATACAATCTTGGAGGTTTTGAGGCCCGTAGCTTAATTTGGTATTGCTCCATCTTGGGGATTAATGAATTTGCAATGATTGCAGAAGTCTTGCATTCTAAAGTATTGGTTGATCTCGTTACATTTTAATGTAGATATCTTCCTCCAATAAATCTTTAATTGTATTATCATAATCTGATCGGGACATCGCTACAACATCACTACAGTAGTGCGGCCTTTATCAGCTGCCAGAATTTGAATTTATTTATTTAATTGAAGCTCTCTTAAGGCTTATGCTTCACCAAAGCTAATATTTATTTTTGGTATTTTGCTATTCTCAAATATTTTGGCAACCTTGTATCTAGTCTTCTCTGTCTCGTTATGTGAAAGATGTCTTATCGCTGATTCCACCTTGTCAATTATCTCATCTACTGGAATTGTGCGTGGGGCAACGGCAAAGTTAAGGCATTTAGAAAGGACGGAAATCATGTCACTGGTTAAATCAGTGTTAGTTAAGTTCATTACAGTTTTGTTTTTAATTGTTCGTTATTATTTGGGACTTGTTTGTTTTGTAGTCTGGAGAATTCATTAATTTGCTTAGTTTTAGTGAGATTAAATATATTATCAGCCGATTGTTGTATTATAGTATCGATATTAATAATATTGTCATGGGTCATGGGTGTGGGTGGTTAATTGGTCTTGGCGGGGTAGGTGACAGTCGGACACGTGACGTTGCACTCCGCGTCACGCACGCCTTCTCTGGACTCACCTGCAGCGCCGCTAGCCCCGTGCCACCGTTACTGCTGCTGCTCACTTTGGGCTCCGAGAACTGCCGCCCGGCGTCCGACGGGACCTTGGGCGCCATCGCAATGTCGCCCGTCGACGAGTGGACGCTCACGGACACCGAGGTGTCCATGGCCGTCTCCACGTCCTGCTGGGGCATTGCCTGCAGCTCCGGCTGGTACTGGTACAATCGCACCGGGGAGCTTGGGTCCGATTTCACACTGGGGGAAGGGACGCTCACTCCACCGCTGACACTAGGCCCGTTGCCATTGACTCCAGCACACACTGCTGAAAACTGCGTAGGACTTTCCGTCTTCAGGACCTGGGTCTGGGCGAGCGGGCTCGCCGGCTTGCTGCAGCCAAGGTGCTGCTGCTGCTGTTGTTGTTGTTGCTGTTGTTGCTGCTGCTGCTGCTGCGGCTGATGCTCCTCTTTTGTGGGGTTCTCCTGCAATGTGAAAAACCCAGGAGACGGCTGCTGCTGTTGCTGCTGTTGCTGCTGCTGCTGTGACTGCTGGTGCTGTATTTGTAAGGAGGAAGGGGGGCTGGCAGGAAGGTGCGTGTAGGTGATGGCTGAATAAGGCTTGTGTGTGTAAAGGCTACTGAAGTCCATATTCTCCAGAGTCGTAGAGGGACTCAGGCACCCAGAGGAGATCAACGTCCCCTTAATAATCTGGTTGGTCGACTCAGAGTTGATAAGCAACTGGTTGTCTGGCTTAAGCGTGGAGGCAACGGGATCGGACGAGACAATCATCCCCCCGTACTCCTCGTCCACTTGGTGATCCATTCCTTTGACTTCCGTCTTCAACGAATGAATGAGTCCCGTTGCCGGGCTGAAGACAGCCTCGGCGGTGCCCGGAGACGCGTACCCCGGGTTGATGGAGTCCTTGTTGAGGCCCCCTCCGTACGTCTGGCCCTGCTTGGGACTGTTCAGGAAAGCGTCGGGGTCGAACGTGGACGGGGCGCTGATGATGGAGGCCCCGCCACCGCCGCCACCGTCTCCGGTGTCCATGCTCTGGTGGTGGTCGACGGCCACGGCCCCCGCCAGCGCCAGGGCGGAGTCCAGGCCGCCGTGCGGCAGCAGGGTCAGGCCCGACAGCTCGGAGCTCGACCCCGCGGCCAGCCCCGACAGCTCGTGGTTGGCCGTCGGCGGGAGCGCCAGGTTCGGTCGAACGGACTCCAGCGACAGCTCCTGGTTGACGGTGAGGCCCAGGCCCTGGCCGCCGGCTGACGCGGCGAGCGACATGAACTGCTGCCCGCCGGACAGCGCGGTGGATATGGGCACGGGCTTTCCGCCCGCGATGCCCGTCATGAAGATGACGGCGTTCTGCGGGAGACTGCACGTCACCGCCGCCATGGCGAGGCCATCCGCCTCGCCGAAGAAGTTGTTGGCGGAGCCGAGCGGGGAGTTCTGCGTTGTGTCCGGGATCTCCACCTGGCTCTCGGAGGTGGACGACGACACCACTTCGCTGCTGCCGCCCTGCTGCTGCTGCTGCCGCTGCAACTGCTGCAGCTGTTGCTGCTGCAGCGCCGAGGTGGACGAAGAAGGTGGGGAAGGCGACGGGCTCGCCTTGGAGCCCTTCCCCATGGGCCTCTCCTGGCCGGGGCTGCAGCTGCTCGGCTCCGTCTCGCACTTGGTCTCGCAGGACGAGGAGGTGGACGAGGAGGTGGATGAGGAGGCGGAGGAGATGTTCTGTACCTCGGTGAGGGCGGCCTGTGCGGCAGCGCCGCCGCCGCCCTTTGCCTCCACCTTGGGCGAGATGATGCGGTGCTTCGTGCTGTTGCACTTGTGCGGTGTGCTCCCTGCAGCCCCTAACCAGAAGAAAGCAGTCAATAACAATGGCGGGGCGCGAGGGAACAGTGGCGGCGCGTGAACGCGTTCAACGAGAGACAATGGCGCGAGTGAGAAGCGCACAATGGACAGGACTGGAGGTTATAGATGTTCGCGCCCGCCCGGGTGCATTTTCTCCGGGAAGCCAGAATAAAAATGTCTCTGTGGAAAAGATTCCCTCTGAAAAAACTGTCATTTAGTTTCTGTTTTCATCGCTATCGATTATCACCGCGATATCCAGCATGGTGCTGTCATTGCGGCGGTCCAATTGATGGGACACATCGTCTAACATCCAGGGCTGTAGCGCAGCAGCTCCCGCTAAGCAGTTGAGCGGCGGGGTGATGTCACACAACACAACGCACATCTGAGGCCTGCAACAGCATCTTGGTTGGAGAATCTGAACGCAAGTTGCGAACGCCTGCGATGGGGGTTTGTCGTCAAAGCGTTGTCCTGCTTCTCTCAATAGTCTCTGCTTTGTCGACATCCCTTGGAACAACAGTACACCCGGTAAAAACTGTACAGTGAACGTAAAAATGTAAAGGGGGCCCTGGCGAAGTGCCGGAGATGGGTATGCAAAAGTGCGGCTACTGTGGGAGAGCATTACTAGCGATTGACCTACCAGTTTGTTCAGGGGCACAAGTTATGGCGAGCATTTGGTTGGCTAGCACATGCGTGCTCCCAATTTACTGTTTTTACCCCTTTCTTCTCAATGCCACGTACAAATTTTTTCCGGATATATGTCGGCCACTGTTTACTCGTGGGCTTTATACGTCCACACGTATCTCCCCTGGTGACCTTGTACCGGTGTCATATTCAAGTTACCTCTCATGTCGGTGTATTGGGTTGAGAGTGAATTTGACAGGGCATCCTTGTTGACAGCTAAAGCAAATGTCTGACAACTAATATGGTTAAAACTACAAATATTGGTGAATAATGAGCAATACATTATTGTGTTCTTTGTGTGTTGGGCAAATGTATGATGATCTTAATCTTTTTCTAAAATCGTGAACACGTGATCTGCTGCAATGACATACGAAAAATACGAGAAGTCACATACATATCATGTCTGTTATAAGTTTACCTACACGCATTGCGGTCACACAATTATTTATTTCTGAACAAACATCCACTCACAAGAGCATGCCTAAAAAGTGAAAGAAACGTTTACTGATTTGGAAATGTAAGAATATTGTTAATTTGTTTTTTTATATTGTCAATTAAGTACCAAAGATAGTGGCCAATTTGCAAAAATGTGTGCGTATCTTCGTAAAAATAATGCTATTTTGTCTCTCGCATCTCTTCAAAAGTGACTCATATCCTTTGTAGATACACATTCAGGATCAGAATATTTATTTAGACTGGAGAAATCCAGAACACGCGTTACATTTTCACGTGGAATTACTGTGTCATGCAATGGCCAAACAACTTGAAAAGTCTGAGGCACCCACCCTTAACTCCACCACAAGCTATTAACCAACAGTGGAATGCATCGACTGTGGCATTAGTGAGGCTCAGCTATCCGTCACAAATATGTATTCTGTTAACGTATTTATGTATGTTGAAATTATTTTGCACCGTACGTAGCCAACCGTGGTAATCGGAGGCGCGGGGGAAGGACAACAAACTAAACGCAAAAAGCAGTTCCAAAGAAATTAGTTTTCAATCTGGATTATTTAAAAGTGCAAAGCTCCAGTGACTTTCTAATATCGGAAGGAAGAGCGTTCCAGACGGCCGCAGAAGCGCGTCTGATCATTAACCCATGCCCTCTATATCACTAGCCTCTGTTCTAATGTTGCTTAGGTATATGTAATATACATCTGGTAAAAACAAATATATGTGTGTGCATATATATTTATAACTATTTATTGAGTATACATTGAACATGAGGCATGCGTAAGTTTTGGGTATGAATGTAATGTGCATGCATTAATCCATTAAGATTGGTTACAATCACATGCTATATGTTCAAAGTGTGTATTATTGAAACGTTAATCTGCAGGCTTTTAATTTAGGCCACCTTCAAAGTATCGCACTCACATTGAAAACACTTTTTTCTGTAAACATATTTCCATATTGTGATTATAATACTGGTATATTCTTACATAACCATGCCATTTACATGCACCGTTAGTGAAGGGATGTGTAGGTTGTTATATAAAATCCTTGGGCAGTGGTTCCCAAGATTTCTCAGTGGCTGCACCAACTCGGGGTGCTTTATTTATAAAATAAAACAACTTTTTTTAACTCTGGTGCTAGTAATGTATGGCATTTTGTGTTTGTGAAGTTGAATAACTATTACTATTATTATTCCTTATGCCTGGGAATTTGCCTCGACTCATCATAAATAACACAAATATTTCCTTCACTTTATTAATGTTTTCTAATTCGACCTCACTTTAATTGAACTGTCCATATAAATTTAGCGAACCCAAATTACCAATCGATACAGCCATAAAAAGCTTAGCACTTGTCAATAAATAATTTGGACACGTATATTTTTTCCCGGTCTATGTTCAGAAATATTTATTTCATTTGTAAGACTGCGGGAGGGCCAACTAAATTGCAATACATGCATCCAAACAAAATGAAACCTGCTCACAAGGCCAATCATTGGAAACCACTGCTCCAAGATACACGAGGGGTGGTTCAGTATGCCCAGGGACTAAATGAGTTAGTTTAAGAGTGCCTTTCCCCCCTTCCCCCCCCCCCCCCCCCCCCCCCGATGCAATTGGCTGCCTTACCATGACTCAAAACGCACGTGGATCAATTGGCAACTTCCACATTATAATCAATGCTTATCGTTGCTGCTTCTGCTGTGGGACCTATTGCAATGGCACATCTAAGTGAATTGTCAAAAAACACAGAAAGCAACCCTTACTCCAGTGCTGCATTGAAGCAGCATTATGGTTGTATTCCTCCTAGCACACATAGGGGACTATACAGGATTTAACCACTAAATTTTGAAGTTGCTTCGCTGTGTAACTGCACTACATTTAGCGACGATGGTTAGATTGTTGATGCAACTGTCTACTAATAGTTTATAAAAATGTTCAGGACGCTTGAAAATAAACTCCACTGACAATTACATCCCGGTGTGTGGAATTTTACTTTGTCAGAAAGTGACATTTTATCCACAGCACTGGAGGTTACCATACTCGTTCATTATTGAAACATGCAACGTGGCCCCCAATTATCAACCAATATGGGATTTTTGTTTTTATTTCCAGTGCAAACGGCGATCCCTGACGGTGCGCAGCCTGCACATTGCGTGTAGGAGGAATGGTTGGCCGTTGCTTGATACCGCGTGGGGTGACGGAACGAAGGATCCTCCCCTGTGTGCAAAATATCAGCAATACCTGCAGCGTATTAATTTAACTACTCGCTTTAAAGCTCAGGGGGCGTCTCATCTTTCAGGCGCTGAACGTATCGAAAATCTGCTGAGCGTCCTGCAATACGGCGAGTTAAGTACTCGACTGGGGGGGGCAAGTGCAGGGCTAAATGACACTCGCTATCGTTGACGCCGTACAAAAGCACTTTGCATCGTCCTAACGTTTCACTAAAACTTCCAGCGGGTTGGCGAGTCCATTCGAAGCAGGCATTGAAACCCAGGGTAAAAGCGTCGGGTCTCTGGCAATACTGAACCACTCTCCACACGCTGCCTTCTATGCAGGTGCGACAGTGATACCTGGGCGGGGTGTTTGTTTGCCTACCATTGCACAAGCAGGTGTGTGTCCTGGGCTGCGGCTTGGCTTGGTGGCTGTCCATGATCTGCTGAACGAGCTGCTCCACTGAAAACTCACTCGCTCCATTGCCATTTCCACACGTCCATTTTATACCATGGACTGCAAGGCCATATACATACACAGACACAAAGTTGCATCTCCTGTTATTGAATGGTAATTCATATATAAATCTCTCTCTCGCTCGCTTGCACTGTCTCTTGTTTGTGAAAAAGATTACGTATCGGTTGATATGAGCAAAGAGAAATGGACGAATTGCGATTCGAAATCAAATCGTGCTATTTGATGCCATTCGTGAGATATAGGGATTTTGTACGGTGTTTAATTTGGAAAGAAAATATCAACTGCACCGTCTTACGATCAAATCACCCTGGATGCGCCCAATCTTCGCCGGATCTCAGAAAGCCAAATCCCGGATCGAGCGTGGGGCGTGCTCGGATGGGCGACGGACACCGTGCCCAACGGACAGACAGCTGTTGAGGGCGTCGTGGGCAGTAGAGGGAAGTGCAGCAAAGTCCATTGCTGTTCTGCCTCCACCACCCCCTCCCCACCGCCACATTCACCAACGTGCACTGACCGGCAAAGGTGAAGTATGGTTAAACAAACCCTCACTGCCTGAACGACGTGGGGAGGCCTTCGTCCAGATGTGGATTGATAAACAGGCTGGGTGCGTTTACTGCATAATTTGATCAATCGCTTTAATTGCGGTATTTATTTATTTATTTAAAACATTCGTATCGTACGGTTACTCTTCAGGCATCCGGCCACAGCCGACATCTGGCCCGGAGAGGCAAGCGAACCTCTAATGTAGCCATTACAGTGGGGATGAATCCCGGTTGTTGTTATAGAGTTTACAAATTCCTTTTTTAATAACATAAAAGAGTGACCTCTTCTATTAGCCGCGCTATGTGCAGCGTATCCATTCACACCAACCGTGAAAGAACACGCGGAATGTTCCCTACACCAAACCGCAGTGTGTTTTCATAGCAAAACTTTATTTATTTGGTGATGAAATGTCAGGGGGTGTGCATATCGCTTTTAAATGCACGAACGAGTTCAACAAATAGGATGTCACTGTCGGTGAAAGCATGTCCTCTGATAGATATACGGTATAATGAATAGTAATGTGCAAAACTACTGCATACTATGTTTAATTACCTCGGATGTTGCACTGGATAATTATTATTCAATTCTCTATTTAAAAAAAAACAAGTTCAATGAATCGTCCATGCCTAACATGAGCAGATTTCAAGGTGTTGGCTTATGTTTGGAAATCAATGTAATTGTTTATTTCAATACTATTTACATTTAAAAAAAAATAATAATCAGATACTGCAACTGTGTCTATGAAAAGTATTGTGCGCGTGTGGTTTTGTGTGATTACCCTACAATTACTGTATTCTCCCGGTTTATACGACGCACACCCCCCCCCCCCCCCCGTATGTTAAAGCAAAGGGTGCGTCTTATAGCCCGGTACACGTGTGCGTGTGTGTGTGTGCGTGCGTGTGTGTGCGTGACCAGATTTGTGTGACTGCATTGACACCGGGCGCTAGTTTGAGGTGCGTTTTAGATTCCGGAGCCGCTCATAATCTAGAGAACACGGTTAATACTGGAGGTCAATTACTATGAAGTCGGTGTTATAATTAATAAGCATGGCCGCATTAAGAGGATCGACTTTGAAGGGTGTAATAAGATATGACATTGCTGTCGAGTTGCAGGAATGTTGGAAATGCATTGCACGTTGCCACCACCTCGTGGTTACATAGCAGAATATCAACTTTGAAGACGAGGAAAATACTACAGCTGAACATGCAATTTTGAACAAGGGAGAGAAAAGTGCATACTGAATATAAGGGAATTAAGAGTAGTGTTTACGCACTGCCTGACTGCTTATCCTCATACAGTATCCCTAACCAAATAACTTTTCCCAATTTAATTATTGAGTCGATTAACAGGTAATCCTAGCACCGACGCTTAGAGACAATTATGATTGTATTCTGGAAACACATGACACTGTTGGATAGAGCATTGCTGACAAGGATGCCATGTTCATTGTTGTTCATAGGGAAGCGCAGGGATGGCACTCTTAATTGAAAATGACCGTCCCTGGACACCGGTACACATTAGCAAAGACGGTGACTGACCCATGAGATGGCAACTCAACTGCAACGTACGACAGCTGCGCCAATGCATTGTCGCTTTGTGAATGAATTTAAAGCGAATTGGCCCCTTTCGTGACTGTGTGTGTCCAATGAAGTCTAAATGTGCTTCTAGGTGGCATTAGGAACATTGTGCACGTGTAAACATTTCACATTGGAGTAGACGAGCACCATTACGATGACGAACAGACAGGCACAGTAAAACAGACCTGCTCACACGGAGATGTTAAACAAGGAACACGACATTTGGTCACATTTGCAGTGTTCGAAATAACTAAACCGTTGAACAAACAACTGCAACTCTTAGACCCAAAATAGATGACCTATATTACTGGGGCAATCGGCACGTAATTACTGAGGACATTATTTATGAGGAGATTTCAATTGTAAATAATGAGCAATTTGGCAACTGAACATTGACTACATTCTGTCACAATGGCTCATGATGTGTGGCCATTTATATAGGAATGCACGGAGACAGTATCTACACGCTGTATATGTATACACACATGCATATGCACACACAATTGTAATTAAAAGAATGCATACAACAGAGGTGACCTAAGCAATGAATGGCAACATGGGCTCTCTCTCTCTCATCAGTGACGGCTGGCCGAAGCTGCTACCTGAGGCTTCTGTCAAGTCCAATTGTGGAAGACTGGGACACCCCCCCCCACCCCCCTGTCCTGTCCGCACGCACGGGCACTGACACAGTACTCACACATGGGCTTGAGCTGGCCCACCAACTCCTCGCGTGACCACTTCGCCCATTCCTTCCGGTCGGTGTTGATGGAGCACAGGATAGGTCCGCATGGTTTCCCACAGTCCTCGATGGCTGGAACATTCAGGTAGTGGACCAGCACTATGTCTGGATTCTGCGCCACAAAGGGGTGAAGACAAGGAGCGGAATGGTTAATGTCGCAATGCCACGGAATTATCTGTCGATGTTTCGCATCACAGTCGCAGAGACGCATGGGCCATCAACACTGGGAATTGCCAATGTTTCCTGAAGGTACGAGGGATGTGACCTGGGTGGTATTTAGTTTGTTGTCCTGCCCCACAGCTCCGATTAGCACGGTCGGCTCGGTATGGTGCGAAAGACGTTCAACATACATACATACACGTAGGCTTTCGTGATCGATATTATCCACGAGAGGTTTTTGGGTTAGATCGCCTGAATATAAATGTGTCATTAAACCCACCACCACCAGACACAGCCAATTAGTAAGGTTTGTCACGTGAAACAAAGCATGCCAATTCGTTACAAGTTCAGCACACCCGTGTGGTGGCAGGTTTAATGACACATTCATATGTACGCGATCTAACCAAAACCCTGTGTTATGGATAGATACATACATACAGGACTAAAAATATCTCATAATATCAAACGAGGTGAGAACTACATGAAACTGACAAAGACCAGAACTTTGAATGATTTATGTTCTGGCAAGATGAACATATTTCCCCGGACAGCCATGATCCTGGGAAAACGAGGAAACTAAACTAAAACTATTTTTAATTTTACCAGGTAAGGCCCACTGAGCTATATAGCTCTTTGTCAGAAGCGACCTTGCCACAAATGATAGCTCAATGAAGTGGCTCATCATGTGGAAATTCATTGCAACCAACTACTCTAAACGCATGTTTGTTTCTAAACGTGAAGGGAAAAACTGGAGGAGAAAAATCCAGGCGACCACAGGGAGAACTCCAAATATATAGGCGTAAGGGTTGGGATCGAACCCACAACCTCCCGTATACCAGGCGAGGTACTTACAGAGCAATTACCAAAATAATAGCATGTCCTCACATTACTATTCAAATACTGTTAGTTTACAGAAGAGTGCTATGTGTACTGGGTATTTTCTTTCAAGTGTTTGGCAGATACGACCTTTTCTTTAGATTCAATGAATAATAGCAAATAAAGCCGGAGCGCTGTGTTGGTTAGAGACTATTTAAATAATATATACGGCAATAAACCTTTTATATTCTAAACCCAATTAAACTGCCTTCAGAGTGTGACACTCAATAAATATGCCATTACTGTTCAAGTCAAAGCAAGCATCAGTAATGGGGAACTGCTTTCAGGCACCAGCTACCAAGTATGCCATTCAACAACTTCATTGGGGAAAAATGTCTTCTCAAGACATTAAAATGCAAATTCAGTTGTCTAATAAAGTCACATTTGATTACAAAAGCATTACTGTATAATTCGAGCTGCTCTAATCATTTAAAGCGGCCCTCCGGCGTGCCTTCGGGTCGTACCACGTTCACGCTCGGCACGGCGTCCGACGTTTCACTCCGCGTGCCTTGAGCTGGGTCAGGAAAGCGAACACACGATTCGTCGAAATTCAGCGAAACGCGTTTGCGGGCATCATGCCCTGGAGAGTGCGCGGCACAGCCCGAGCGAGAGCACATGCCGGAGAGGTGTGACGCAGCGCAGCGCCGGCCTTTAGCTTCCCCTCGCGTTTGGCTTTCTCAGTAAGCTTCTAATTATATTATTGGTTCTTTCGGTAAAGTCACGTAGAAGGGAAAATAATAATAATTTAAAAATATAAAACCATATTTTTTATTATTTCCCTTCTACGTGACTTTACCGAAAGAACCAAGAATATGAATCCCAGCAGTCATGAAAGCTTTAAATCAAAATTTAAGCTTCTATTTGTCTTTTCTTAAATTTTCCTCCACTTGGCCTTACAATATGTATTTTTGTCATGATGTACTGTGCCCTGATAATCTTAGAGAACGGCGCTTTACGAACGCCACTTATTATCACCCCTGCTAACAAGGGTCTTTGTGAAAGAAAAACGTCAGGATTCTGCACTATTATTTACGCCTTTCACGATTAAAAAAAAAGCACGCATTGGTTTCACGCAATTTTGTCAAGACTTACTGAATTGTGGATGTGCATACATACGGTACTACAATTATCGATAAACTCTCCAAGGCTGTTTATTTATAAATTGTCATGGGAAACGTGCGCACAAAACGTGGGCTTCGTGCACTGTCACTCCGTCTCCTGCAGAGGGCAATATAACATTAGTGGAGAAGAAGATGAAAACATCACGTGGGAAAAATGATGAAGCCCTGAATATTTTGACACAGTCGGCGAAGCTGTAAAAGAGTGAAACTTCACACTCCGCAAAAAACCCAACAACTTTTAAACGTATTAATTGTGATCCGCACCAACAAACCCCGTTAATCAACAATTATGATCACTCGTAATGAATCATTACCGAGGTGGTGGGAATTGGCTCCGAGGTTCAAATTAAAGTTGTGCTCATTTTGAAGGGGAAAAAAAAGACGTGGCCACTGATTGGATCCTGAATGAGAAAAGTGCTTTCCCTGTGGCCACCATTTTATAACGGGTTGACAACAGTGATTTCAGTCAGTCGACAGAGAGTGACTCATGCATCCTTCCTTGTTAATAATTCATTCGTGTTTGTATGAAAAGCACACAATGCAATGCACACGGTTTGGCTGAATAGGTACCAGTGCCTTCTGATAGCCAATTGGGATGCCCGAAGCCAATTTTTTTATGAGCTCCTAGTAAGAAGACAAAGTACGTAGAGAATTGAGACATAACCACTATGCCAGAAGAGATCTCGACAACAGAGATGTACCGAGACAAGAGATAGAGACGCAGCAAAGAAATGGGCTGAAAATAGAGTTACACATATAATTCAGTGAATTTCATCACAATGGGAAGTAAACACATGCCTACGTATTGGATAAATTAATTTAAACAGTTAACATGGAATCATTTGCAAAGGGGCATCCAGGAGGTATGCACATTCGTGATTTTCAAGGAACACCATAGGCGATTAAACATATGCGGTTCTATGCAGCTCAGTATTCATGCGATGGAGTGTATACAGCTTTTGAGAAGGGCAAATCAAAAGGAATCCTAGCTTGTCATGAAGAACTATCTAAAACTAAACTCTGTTTATTTTACCAGGTAAGGCCCACTGAGCTATATAGCTCTTTTCAGAAGCGACCTGGCCACAAATAAGATCCCAACAAAGTGGCTTACGTGGAAATTTATAGCAGCCATACACTCTAAATGTGTGTTTCCAAATGCGGAGGGAAAAAGCGGAGGACCAGGAGAAAAATACAAACGACCATGGAGAGAACATGCAAACTCCAGATATACAGCAGGTATCATCAGTGTCGGGTACGAACCCACGACCTCCTGTATACCAGGCCAGGTAGTTAACATCTCACAACCGCAGCGCGCCTATCATTCAACCATCCATCGTCGCCATCAGTAGCAATCGCCATAAAACGAAAAGCTGTCACCCACCTCCAAAACAATGCGAATGGCAATAATGAGATTTCACGTTGTATGCTACTGGTAGATGTGCCATAGCTGAGCAGCTGGCAAATGTAATGTTTTCCCTCCTTTATGACAATGGGCGGTACGCAGATTGACAGCTGGCTGCACGTTATCCGTACTTTTGCTCTGGCCTCCCAGAGACATAAACCACAATGATCACCTGGGTGGGTGTACCGTGTGCGCGTGCACACACACACACATATGCCGAATCAGTACACAGAGTTTCATGGGAACAATCAATATTCTTACTTTTACTTCAGAGACAAGGATATACGGGTTTTTCCCACTTTATACGCAATTTCGTTATGTATACATTTTCTAATTTTGGATTAATGGATCACCTATCTGAACAAAAAGCGTCTACTCTTGCAAATGTCACGGAATTTTTACTTTACCACATGACGTATGTTACATTTTTCTTGGGAAAGACCACATTATAACTTAGCCCTTTCCTGGCAGACTAATGGTCACTTGCCAGCCAGTGCCGTGAGGCGAGATGTTATCGTCCTTGCCTGGTAGGCAGGGTTATGGGTTCGATCCCAACCCTGACAATGCCTGTATATTTGGAGTTTGCATGGACACCCCGTTGGTCATGTGGATTTTTCTCATCGAGAAACACGCATTTAGATGATTTGTCTGCTACTATAAATTCCCACATGTGAAGATGCAAACCACTTTGTGAACTATCATCATGTGTGGCCAAAAATAGACCAGTCGGCTTTACCTGTTAAATACAAGTTTATTTGTGCAGCACAGGGAGAGCTGCCACTGGGGGTGGCCATGGCAGCAGGCAGGGAAAATGGGTGGCTGAGAAGTGATCCAAGTCGCTTTGAGTTGGTGAGTTGCTGAGGCATATATGTGCCCAATAAATGCTTATCTTTAACAAGCCACGCTTTGGTAAGTTCCTTCGGGTAAGGATCCTGTGGTAGTGATTTCTTTTCATGCATTTGTGAAACCGAAAGCAACGACTCAATGCAAACTGCCCCAATGACTAACCGCAGCCTACTGAGTTACCCATATGGATACGGTCGTATTTCGTAATACAAGAGAGTAAATATGTAAATAAAAAATAATTAATGGAATGTTCTGTTGATTGAATGTAGCAGGCCTGTTCTATTAATATATTTGGTCCATGCCCACCGCCTCCCTCGCCTCTTGCATGATAAATGTTGAGCCATAAAGGAATAGATGTCTCACCTTAAATCATGCGTGAAAAAAATATGAGATGTTATCTGATTTTTGTGACCGGGACCCTCAGCTTTCCAAAAGCTTGATTTACTTATCACCTCATAAATCAAAGCATCATTGCAGCTGCAACTTCATTTATAGCATCCAATTTAAAATATTACACCATTTTTTTATTGGACCGATATCAAGTGTAAAATATTCACTGACCCGTTCATACAGTTCCATGACCTGAGCTACGCACGAATATAAGTGCCCTGCAGAAAGGCTACTGTCAGCGGTTTGTTATCGGTAATTACACACACTGCTCAAAATAAATTGGGTTTGTATCTGAATAACCCTACCACCGGAAAGTGCTATACTGTATCAACAAAAACGAGAAACGCAAACAAAAAAAAGTGCTTTTCCAAAGGATATTTTTCAGGTCCATTAGTAAGCACCTGGGTGTTATTTCTTACCGTGCAATAGATTGGCCTGCTTTGCTCATCGCAGTTATTAGGCATTCCCAGTGGCAAACCTGTCTCACTAACATAAATATTTTTTATTCCCAGACATTCCAACTTAAAAGAGGTTGATTTTTTTTGTTTACAAAAACTGCCAATTTTTACAAATGAGATTGCAACAACAATAATGGTCATGATTACCTCGGTCACAATATTATCATTCCAAATGCAATGTTATCAATTCCACTGCTGGATGAAGGCCTCCCTACGCCGTTGTTGGCCGTCATGCCAAGTCTTATTGTGATACAAAACGCATTGCTATCACACTATACGTGTGTGTAATGTTCTGTGTAAGCTTAACGTGTGTGTAATATTAATTTTGAAATCCCTCATTTAAAAAAATGAAATGAAACAACCATCCAAATAGAGTTAAAATATCACATGCCCAATGCATTACATGCTAAAATGTAGGGTACAATGACGTGCATTTATGTAATTTTAATAAACAAATAGGCACATTATTTTGCCTAAGAGCACTACAGCACCAGTAGTTTCAGGAGATATGTTAGCAGTTGGGGACGTGTGGCTGACTTACCAATTGATACATCGCCACTTATTTGTCCACAATAACCTAAACAACTGCAATACAGTACTTAATCTATACCCAGATGCAAGTCCATAGAGACTGTAGTTTTAGACTGAAAGGGAGACGGGCTAAAACACAAATATGAATAAATAAGAATAAAAACGTGACTATAAGACGATGAGTGGAAAGCAATCGCGCGTGAGCACAATTAATATAAAACAATATATAAATCTAACATGACGCATTTATTTATTACAATGGAGCGCACATTACTCTTTGTAGGGGAGCCCTACTGGGAATGCCAATACGATACGTACGTACCCTCGACACAATTATTAAAAATCAGCGAACACAATGGTGCTTACGGCACTCGCGAGAGATGCGCTCACATCCAGCGTGGTAGTCTTAACAAATTATCACACTACAACAGTGTGCTGAAACAGCACTAATGGCTGATTACACAGAAGCGATGTTTTTAATTTATAAAATACATTATTAATACACTCAATTAAAACTATTATTCGATAAGCACGTGTACATCTGAAATTGTAAATGCACGTGTAATAAATTAATTTGGGATTTACTGAGCCTAATATATCCAATTAGCAATTAACTGTTTGAAAATATCTTACAGCTAAGAGGGGTGCACATTTCTGTGAGCTGCTTTGCAGAATTCTGATTTGTAAAGATTAATTTCCAGATTAATCTCCCTCTAGGTTATTCGTCAGCAGGACATGTTTTCTGGGCAACAAGATGAGGCCGCCTTACAACATTAGACCATCAAAGCTCAAAGTTCATATTTGTACTGAGTGAGCTACAGAGTAGTTCATGAACGAATACAGGAACAACAACAAAAAACATCACTATGTTCTTGATTTTTCAGCAATTGTTGGAAAGAGGCGCTGCCATGAAAAGTCTTGCACACACCACTGCTGAAACAAAAGCCTCCACCAGATGGAGCTCGTCCATACAAGCCCCACAAAGAGGGCATTTGGCCTACTCTTCCACGCCTGGTCAGACGTCTTGGAAGAGGTGGGGGAGTTACCCTCATTTTACCCGACCGATAACACGCCCTGATGAGCGGCGAACTGTCCACGTGCTTTTATTGAACGTAACTTTGCTCATAAACGCGATTATACACGTGTAGCATTCGAACACCAACTTAATGTGATTTATTTTATTTGAGAATTATTGGTACAAATGGGAAATTTAAGTGAAGCCAGAAGTCACACTTGCTTGTTGAAGGGGGGAGGGGACCCAGGTTCGGTTCAGATATTTCACACTCGCCACCGATGTTAGACGTGGTTGGGAATCGAACTCGGGTTGTTGGCTTCATTGTGCAGCGTGCTAACTATCGCGCCACCGCTCCACCCAAAGTTCCTGTATCTATTTAGA